TGGACAGTGTGCAGGCAGCAGGAAGATCGCAGGAGGTGGACAGTGTGCAGGCAGCAGGAAGATCGCAGGAGGTGGACAGTGTGCAGGACAGTGAGCAGGCAGCAGGAAGATGGCAGAATGAGGACAGTGTGCAGGCAGCAGGAAGATCGCAGGAGGAGGACAGCACACAGGACCAAGAGGTAAGTTAGACATTAGGCTGTACTTTAAGATCTACTGTATCATCAAGACAGATATTAGCCTAATAGGCAAATATTTATTTCTGAAGGCTGGTGGAGCTGGCAGGAATAACACCAGACTGCTGGACCAGAACAGGCTGTTTGTAACTGTATAGGCTTATTACTTTTACTAGTATACTTCTCCTAGGATAATTCCTGGGAGTTAGGGTTAGGGTTAATTCTTTTGGATAGAGATAAGGATAACGAGATCTTCTGTATTGATTCTCATTGTGCCGCATGTCCAGACCATGACCGTGTGTTACATACATGTTAGTAAACACCCCTAGCGCATCTTGCACTCTTAACATTGATCCTGGTGGCTATTCGTATTGACGCGGTAGTGGACCATAATGGTCATAGAAGTGTTTTGAAGGCGGTACCCCCCAATTATGGAGGGGTAATTCGCACTCTGCATGTGGCTGCTCCCTCAGCCCATCCCAGGACACTCCGTTCTGTGTCTGCAGGGTGGAGGGTGTCTCAAATCTGTGTCACAGTTGCAATATCATAGTGAAATGCCAGTTTACTATTTGACTTGACAAATATGACTGACCTCAGTATCCCCAGTTTACAGTGTGAATCCTCCAGTCCTGCAGAGAGCAGCTTCACTCCTGAATCCTGCAGGTCATTGTCACTCAGGTCCAGCTCTCTCAGGGGTGAGGAGTTTGATCTGAGAGCTGAAGCCAGCGCCTCACAGCATTTCTCTGTGAGATTACAGCTGTTCAGCCTGCAAAAGGAGCCGTGTTATTATACACATATAGACCGGTATATATCCTACACGTCAGTGATCATAGTGATACAAAATATCCAATCAAACAGTTTTTTTCAGCATAATAAGCGGCACAGACTATATAATTCAAAGAGAATTAGTAGCTAAACACAACACTACATTAAATCACCACAGTTAGAAAAGTGATTAAATATGGTACAATTTTTTCTGATGATCATCATGTTCCCTGTCATGAAGAATATAGTGAACATTTTCATTTCAAAGCACAAATATCCTGAAAGATTTTGTGTGGAGAATATTCAGGACCTGGATCAATCTACTCAAATGAGCAGCTGTTGGCACAATACAGGTTCTCTTGTGAGTTTACTGTGTATTTTGTCCATTTTTTGCAGTCATAAAATAATTGATAGTGGGTAAGTCTATCATAAGTTAATAGCCTATACTTTGAATAAAACTGTACATTTGAAAGTCATACAGACTATATTCCCAAAAAAATTCTGTATGTGTGATATTGCATTATCTTCCAGAGTCAGTTTGAATGAGGGCATGAGTGTGAATATGCTCTAAAATCCATTCAGTCACAAGTTAATTACAATATACCAGTTATTTTGTTGCTATGATGTCCTTGAAACTCTCTACCCAGCTCCATCCTGCTTTTTAATGCACTGCTGTTTAATGATCTTAAAGGGCCAGTTACCCTGAGACTCTTTAATATCTGCATAAGTATTTTCATAAAGCTCTAATCAGCACTACAGCCGACCATCTAGGGTTTTGGGTTCAGTTCCTGCCTGGGATGTGTGTGTGTGTGTTTATGTGGGATTTGAATGATGTCCAGAGGAGTTTAGGCTTTTTGAATAACACCTGAATTCCTGATCCTCTGAGTGAAATCCGTTTTTTCTGTAATGCACTACCTGGGAACTTATGAAATTGTAGGACTACCAATCCTTTCAGATACGCTTATAAAAGGAACATTCATTTAAAAGAAATATTTTTGAACAGTGATACTTCTTTCATCCACATGGGGAAATTGTCTTTTCACCCATCCCATTCTGCTCCATAAGACACACAGACACACAGGTGAGAGGAAGTTTAGGGTCACAGTGCAGGGTCGGCCAGCATCCAGCACCCCTGCAGTGGCTCAAGGGCCCAGCGATGACATCACTTTGCTGGCCAGAAGATCAAAACCAGCAGCCTTCCACTCACCGGCACAGAGTCCGAACATTCTGCTAAATTCTGGCACTTGGTTGGTTGTCACACAAAGGAGGGTCATGGAAAACCTGTCACTTCACTAACTGCAGTCAATATAAAATCTGGCTTCCAGACAGTCATGGTGAAAAAAAAATCCCGCCTCGTGATTAATCGACAGGGGAAATAAATGTTACATTTTCATTATATACTTTATACAATGTTAATATATAACTGCCGACTGGAGGTGTTGTTATTGGTGGGAAAGCACACAGAGTTTCTTTGTACATGTACTGTGACAAAAAAGATATTTTGTTTTGTTCTCTCCTCAGCCAGGAGCAGCTAAGGCCAGCAGAGGGCGACAGCGAGCAGCCAGAGGCAGCAGTCATATGGAAGCTCCCAGCTCTGGGCTCCATCACATGAACACGCCTGCTGACAATAACATTCACATACCACTTATACACCCTGTGGATAAAGAGCCCTCACTGTTTCTATAGCAGGTTAGGATGCTGTGCCTGTGATCAGAAGGCAGACTGGATGGGAACGGAAACGTCACTTTTTTTGTTTGTTACTACATCACTGCCTTCAGTCATTATAAAGTCTGTGTCCAGATTAGCTACTGCTATAGAAACAGATGTAGTCGAGATAATCAAAATAACCCAGTTATGAATCCATGAGGAGAAATAAATTATATGTATCAGACATTCAGACAGTATTCATGTATTACTGCCAGACCAGACATGATTTCCATCCCCACGTCACTTACAGAGCCGTCCTGGAGTTCTTGACCACAGGCAGCAGCCTCCAGTTCTCTTTATCTGATCTGATGAATTTCTTCAGATCAAACACATCCAGCTCCTCATCTGACAGCATCACAAAGGCCAGAGCTGAGTACTGTGCAGG